TAACATGTCAAAGGGTACTACAATGGTTTATTTTATGTGTCAACTTGGCTGGGCCACAGCTGTCAAACATTACTTTGGATATTTCTGTAAGAGTGTTTTTGGATGAGATTAATACATAAATTACTGGGCTTTGAGTAAAGCAGATTATCCTTCATAATATGAGTGGGTCCCACCCAAATCAGGTGAAGGACTGAGTAAAACAAAAAACTAACCTCCCTGGAACAAGAGGGAATTCTGCCAGCAAATGGCCTTTCGACCTAAGACACAATATCACCTCTTTCTTGGGTCTTTAGCCTGACAGCTTTCATACTGGAACTGCAGGTTTTAGACTAGCCAGGCTCCATAGTCATGTAAACCCATTCCTTAAATAAATAAACACATACACATGCATACACACAATTTGTTCTGTTTTCTCTAGAGAACCCTGGCAGGTACTGATTAGTTAAGATTTGAGAAACTTACTGTTACAGAGGCCTAATATTTATTACAAACTGGAATTTAATATTCAAGCAGAGAGTGGTGGCTGACAGCACAGCCCCTAGAAACAGAAAGTCTGTGTTGGAAGCCAGCTCTGACACTTACTACCTCTGTGATCATGGGCCACTTCCTTAGTGTGCCTTTGCCTTAGTCACTTCATCTGTGAAGAGCAAGTATTAATAGTACCTATATCATTGTATTCTTATAAGAATTAAATGATTTAAAATTCATAAGGTTCCAAGAACAGTGCTCGGCACATATTACATGCTGTGTGTTCATTAAAGCAGAGTTGGAGTTAAAAACTCTATTGCTTTCTCTTCATACCACCCCCATTGGCCAAGGCGAATAGTCAAGAGCAACAGAGGACTATAACAGAGCTTGGGTCCACAAGAGCTTAGCAGAGACAAGCCATGTGAACTACAGCAGTCAGGGTAAGATGGTTCTGTAGACTCAGCTTATGACTGTGTCTTGGATGTGTGAACTATCTACCCCAAAAGCTCTGGGTCACTTCTTCCCTTTGTGACCCCTATTACCCCTCCTTTCCAAGTACAGGGTTTCACATACAGGAGGGGACCAAGGAAAAGACACTCAGCACAGGTCAGATGGAATGGGGCATATCAGTCTAATTATATTTTATTGACTATGCTATTACAGTTGTCCCAATATTTTTCTCCTTTATCCCCCTCCTCCCTATACCACCCCCCTCACCCTCCAGCCTCCCCCCACCCCGACCACCACACAGTTCATGTCCATGGGTCATACATGTAAGTTCTTTGGCTTCCCCATTTCCTATACTATTCTTAACCTCCCCCTGTCTATTTTGTGACTACCTATTCTGCTTCTTATTCCCTGTACCTTTAACCCATTACCCCCCTCCCCCTCCCCACTGATAACACAGAAGGGATTCTTTATGAAAGAAAGATATATATTTGTAGAGGTTTAAGTAAGGACTACCAACAGCAGAGAGCCATTCCCATCCCTAAAACTGAAGTGACAAAAGAAGGAAATGGTTTTCCCTGAGACCAGTTAGAAGAAGGATCAGTAAAACCAGGGCCACTAGATAGAAGCTACAGTCACAGAGGAACACTGCCATTGCTACATGATGCAGTATTAATTATTTGTGGCTAAATAACCAATTATGTATTCCAAAACCTAGTGGCTTCAAACAGCATTATTTCTTATCTCACACTTACCGTGGGCCAGGAGTCCAGGTGCAGCTTAGCTGAGTCCTGCCCTAGGAGTCTCTGACAAGGCTGAAATAGTTATAGAAAGTCTATAAAAGGGTCCATTCCAAGCTCAGTCACATGATTGCTGGCAGGATTCAGCTTATCGAAGACTGCTGGACTGAGAGCCTCTATTTCTCCCTGGCTGCAGGCATGAGCTGCCATCAGTTCCTGGCCATGTGGGCTTCTCCACAGGGCAGCTCACACCACAGCAACTGGCTTCACTGAGGCAAGTGAGCTGAGAAGATCTGAAGTAGGGAACGTAGGAGGAAATAAGCAAGACAATAGTCATAGTCCTTTTTAACAAAATTTTTATAGAATTTATTGGGGTAACATTGGTTAATAAAATTATATAGATTTCAAGTGTACAATTCTATAACACATTATCTATACATTGCATGTTCACCACTCAAAGTCAGGTCTCCTTCCATCACCATTTATTCTCCCTTTACCTTCTTCTACCTGCCTGCTCTGGAAATGATAAACACCATACTGTTGTCTGTGTTATGAATTTTTTGTTTTGTTTTTTTGTTTTTGTTTTTTGCTTAATCCTTTCATCCTTTTCACCCAGACCCCCAACCTCCCTCCCCTCTGACAGCTGTCAGTCTCTTTTCTATATCTATGAGTCTGTTTCTATTTTGTTCATTAGATTCTACATATAAGCAAAATCATGTGGTATTTGTCTTTCTCTGACTTGCTTATTTCACTTAGCATAATACTCTCCAGGTCCTTCCAACAGTCATATTCTTTTATAACCTAATTTCAAAAGTGACAGACACCCCACCACTTTTGGATTTTCCACTTATTAGAAGAAAATCATTAGGTCCAGCCCAAGCCCAGACAGTGGGCAGTACTCAAAGGCATGAGTGCCAGGAAGTGGGGATCTTTGCAGCCATGTTAGAAGTCTACCTATCACATATGCCAAAGCAGGGAGGGAGCAGGAGGAACAAGTGCCTTGACCAATCTCTCTTCTCCTTTTCTGATTGCCCACCAGTGTGTGCCACTGGCCAAACTCAACCAGATGCTAGAAGGTAAGGAAGCCCAGGTGACACAACCCACAAAGGTCATCCTTCCAGACCAGGGAAGAGATGGGAGAAGAGATCAGAAGCAGGATGGGGAGGGAAGTAGGATGGGCAGAGAATTACCAGCACAGGAGAAAAGACACAGATGGGCAAACCAACAGTCATATTGGAGATCAGATACCGTAGAAGACAAGACATCACAGAGAACAGCCCTTCATCCAGATACAGGGGGTGCATCTCTATTCTTTAATATATGGATCCATTTCTTTCCCTGGCCCTATAACTTAGGGCAACATTGGACCTGGGCCCTGTTATAAAGTTATGAAAATTTTCTATAGAGTAATTGTTCGTACCTCTACCTCACCCCCATTTATGTCAATACTTGCCTTTTTAATCCCTGAGGCAAATAGGAGGATTAGGAGAGGAAAGGGAATGAGCAGTGACATTTGGGAAGACCCTGCTCTTTGACAGCTCTAATGTTCATGCCAAAGTCCTGATTTCCTCTTAGAAAAAACTTGTGCAAATATCATAGTTTGCTTCTGTTGGCTTTTTTAATGTGCTCAGGGACACGGTTTGGGATCTAGAAACAGAGCTTCTTCTTGTATAGTGTACACACAGACACACACATGCACACACACCCTAGGGCACTCATGCAGTTAAAACTTTCTTCTGTCTCTCAGCCCTCCCCATCACCTTCAAGGCTCCCAGGCCTGGACCCTCAGGTGGGCAGTCAATTGACAAGGCCCATCTCTGTATTAATTCAATGCATTCCTCTTCTTCATATACTGACCACCATTAGATGTCAGATAAATCTCAAATATCAAACCACACAGGGAGTAATTAGGGGAGCAATTACTTTAACCCAGGTCCCACACCCAATGTCTGGAGGAGATCAGCTGTCTGACTGTGATGGTCCTCTTACGTGGAGGTTAAGGACAGGTGAAACGGTCTGAAAGAACTCACTCCTCACACCTGTAATGTCCCAGCCCTTTATCTCCTGAGGAGATTAATGCTCTGAACCCAGGTACCCAAAACACCCTCATGTCAAAAATCTCCCAATACCCCCCTTTCCCACACTGATCTTCAGGGTGCCATGAGACAGAGAAGACTACAGGACCACCCAGGGCTTGGTGAGAACACCACCAAGTGGAGAGTCACAAATTGGTATCCAGCACCCTATTCTCCACCCATCAGCTCCTCAGCTGGCTCCTGTTACTTTGCAGCCCTATTCAATTTAGCATTTAGCAAAAGCCTGAATTGAACCTGCCCAGAAAGATGAACCCTCTGCAAAGTTCAAGAATCCCATGCATTTCCACAGAAGTGTATTGTCTATGAAATGCTTTGCCATATGTCATCTCACCACTCTCCTGTACATAGGAGCTGTAACTTCTAGATGACGAATGAAAACCCTAAACTTTAGCAGCACATGACAGTACACTGTCTTATGTATATGACAAAGCCAGAATGCAGAATCCAGGCCTCTTAATTCTAAGCGTAGGGGAGGAAGAATTCCCAAGTCAAAGAGAATTATCTGCTTTTCTGGACCGTGGGTCAGCTCCCCACTTGAAGGGAAAGCTAAGCTCCAACTTCAGTGAACTACCATCTTCCTTCAACTAGTATGTCCTCTCAGAAATGTGGGATGCCATTGGTTGGCCCAAACATAGAGTTTGACAGGGGTCCCTGTGGGCCTGGGGAAGTTTCTCCTATGGGAAAGATAACTTCAAGAGCAGAAGACAACTCCAGAGAAGGCACATGTGCTTTCAAAGCCATCTCCTCAAGAGGAGAAATGAGCCATGAACTCAGTTCCCGAAAGTCCTGAGTGTGGCCTCCCATGGAATGGGGCTCACTTAGCCTGGTGAAACCTCTAAGCCCTTGCACTGAGCCCTGTGGAGATCTAGGCAAAAAGTGGCAATGTGATCACCTAGCCCCCAACCTCATCCTGGACACATGTCAGGATTAAGAATCCTACCACTACCCTCAATAGATACATTTTAGAATCTCCCCAAACCAAACCTGCTCTGCCTCCAGTCCCTGAGATCCCTAAGATGTGAACCCAGAGGGCAGGTGGGTGGAGAAGGAAAGAGATGGCTGAAAGTTAGCAGGGAAAGGACATCCCAGCAAAGATGCCAGGTAACACCTGGGCCCAGCTCACCTTTGTTGACTTGGCAGGTGACAATCTGGGGAAGAAGGGGTGGAGGACACGGAAGTCACACCCCTCCAAACTTGTTTCCCATTGGTCCTTGGTATCCTTAAAAGGGCCCAGCAGTCCCAGCACTCTATTCTGGACCCTGTGAGGATTCTGTGTTATACTCACTCCTGACCCTCAAGCATGAGATTCACGGCTCTCCTTCTTCTGGCTGCTCTGGTTGAAGCCCTGGTCTGTGCCCGTGAGTATGGCCCTACCCCTGCACCCACCAGGTCCTCAAAGCCTAGGGCAGTCCTAGCTCCTGTCTTTATTCCTCTTCCTCTCCCAGTGCTGTCCTTGCTTCTCCTGCTTCTGCAAGTGACTACTGTCCCCAGTTCTCCACATGTGGCCTCTTCACCCCACTGTTCAGGGAACTAGGAACCCCCTGGCCCTGCCTGCTTTCTGGCTCATCTCCCCACTGTTCTCCTTTACCCACTATGATTGTCACACTGGCCTTCTTGCAGGGCCTCTGGGCCAATGTATATAGCAGAAGGGGTTGTCCCCTGCACAAGGGTGCCAGACAAGTGGTGGTGGGGTGAAATCTAGCCCATGTTCCACTTGCCAAGCAGCATACCCTACCCATGGCTGTCTCTCAGGATGTCTTTTCTAATTACACAAAAACATTATTTGGGCCTAGATCCACCCTGCCTGCCATTCCTCAAACTTTTGGACCTTCCTTCTTGCTCTTCCCTCTGCCTGGGATGTTTTTTCTCCCTGTCTCCTTCCCCCAGCCAACTCTGAATGTCACTTGACCAATGCTTTCTCCTCTGCAAAATCTCACTTCAGGTATGAATCTTCAAAAAAGTCTTCCTCAAAAAAATTTATGAAGGATCAATTAAACCTCATTTGCCCTTATTGTACCATCACACCGGAAACTAAATAATTGTGTAATAGAACATTAGCTCTGTCAGGGCAGTCTTGTCCACCTTTTTCATCATTAAATCCCCTTCACTTAGCAGAGAGCTTTGCATAAATGTTGTGTTGGCAGATAAGGGGAATCAGGGCTGGAGTCCAGTCCCATAAACCACTCACATGTGGCCCCATGGCCCCTGCACTGTCATCCTCCACCTCCATAGGCCACAGCCATCTCTGACACAGTCTTAGACACCTTCACGAGCCAGAAACAGGTCAAGAGGAGGGCAGTTTCCAGAGGAATATTTCACTTCTCTGAGGACAGCTTATTTAAAAAAAAAATACGTAGGAGGAGTTAAACATCAGAAAAAATGACCTGATGAACCTACTGGTGTGGCAGAACATGTTCAACCAACAGGGAAATGTATCCCTGTGTCCACAAACATTCCTGAGAGCTCAGGATTGGGAATGGGAGGGAGAGCGGTCCCAGTGTGGATCAGCTTGATTCTTCACTGTCATCTCTCTTCTTGGTTGCAGATGATACCACCACCGATTACATTCAAGCTGCTACAACTAAGGATTCTCTGAGCTGTGAGTCCTTCTCTCCCTCTGACCGCCACCCTGGGGAAGGTTGAACAGCTGGGATGTCAGTGGAGGATGGGGGAGAACTTCAGGAGGAGGAAATTGGGTCCTGCTCTGGGTGGTAATGGGAGGTGCATGGACTGGGATGGGAGAAGGATAAGGAAGAAGTATGAGAACCCAGACAGGCAAGCTTTTAGGGAGAATGGGAAAAAGGCTTATTGTGAACAAAAGGGAGACAGAGATGAAGTTAGATAACAAGGGCAATATGGCACACAGTATTCATATCTTTACCAGCAAACACCTTGTGTGATTCCCAGATCCTTTGCAAGGTTCCTGCTATCTGACCTCAGACCCCATTTCCTTCATGTACCACCCATGTCTGCTAAATTCAATGAACTTCTTTGCATTTCATTCACCTATCCCACACATGTCTTCCCCTGAGCTCTTGCTGACTCCCTGCCCCTAAAAAAAGTCCCTTTAGAACATCCTTCTTGCCAAAGTCCTTTCTTCAGCACCCAGTTTCTCTCTACTGTGCTCTCGACCATGACCCATACTCCTGCCCCAATTCCTCTCCAACCCTGCCCATGGGAAGTGCCCAGCCCTGCCCATCTTCTGAGAGGCTCTGTCTTAATCCAATCAGGCTGTTACAACAAATTACTACAGACTGGCTTAAACAACAGAAATGTATTTATCATAGTTCTGGAGGTTAAAAGTCTGAGTTCAGGGTGCCAGCATGACCAGGTTCTGGTGGGAACCCTCTTCTGAATTGCAGACTGCCAGTTTTTCATTGCATCCTCACACAGTGGAAAGAAGGGGAGAGAGAGCTCTCTGCGGTCCCTTCTACAAGGGCCCTAATCTGATTCTTGCGGGTTTCACCTCATGACCTAATTACCTCCCAAAAGCCCCACCTCCTAAAACATCCCATTGGAGGTTTCAGATCTCAACATATAAGTTTGTGGGAGACAAACACTCAGCCCATAATGGGCATGTAGTGTGTACAAATCCCATCTCCCATAAGAGGGAGGGTGTATGCCATTTCACTTCTGTATCCTGACACCCAGCAAGTATTAGGTATCTGAGGCCCCAACACACATTCCTAGGAGGGAAAAAAATACCTGAATTTGCTAAAATCAACAAATGGGTGTGTTTGTAGCTAAACTTGAGATCACAGCTCCAGCAGAATCTACTTCACTCCAAGAAGCCACGGCAGCCCAGAAGACTTCAGGGGCAGCTGAGGCCCCAGCCAGGATCACCTTACGGAGGCAAGGACTAAATCCCCTGAGTAAGTCTGTCTTTATATCAGACAACAAACTGGAGAAGTCTCTGGCAGCAGGTGTATATGATGCCTCTACCCACAAAGACAAGGCCAGAAGAAGCAGATATTCACTCATTCACCTGAACACAAGGCAAAAACATAGGGTGAACACTGCACCCCTACACAGAAACTCTGCAATAGTAGATTTTGCTGCCAGCACTATACACGTTTTCTTTCCTGGCCCACCCACTTTCCTGTGTGAGAGAAGCTGGGCCTCTCAGCAAAACTGCTCCACTTTAGGAATTTATACAGGGATAATGGGGCGGGGGAGGGGTAGTTCTCTTTAAATGAGGTGGCTTTTCTGATGATGATTCTTCTGCTCCAAAATTAGAATCCATCATAGAGAAAAGTTTCTTGCTAGCAGACCAGGCCTTTGATGGAGCAGAAAAGAGAGCTGATGAAGGAATTCAGGATGGAAAACAGCTATTTGAAGGTGAATGCATCCCAAGGCAAAGCCTTGAGGAAACGGGAATATTCACTGCCCACTATCCACGTGGTGGGGGAAGGTGGGCAAGATCATGCCCCCACCACCCAACACTGGAGACCTGGAACTGCCCCAGCCCCTCTCCATCAAAGCTTCCCTTGTTTTGTGCCTTAAATGGTTCCAATTTCTCATCTACATTCAAGCTACACAGTCCTCCAATACCAGGTGCCCCTGAGTTCCCACTCCCAGCCTTCCCAGTGCAGATCGGGCTCATTTCTCTCCCTCTCACCTGTTCCCAGGTGGGCGAGGGGGCACGTCCTCAGCCTCGGGTGAATCTAACCTCCCTCCCTCTGACTGTGTCAGGCCCCTGGGGTTGCAGTGAGATTGGAAAGAAGATGGGGTTGAGAAGGACAGAAGGGGTGGATGGTGCCTCGCAACCTTCAAACCTCATTCCCATCTCTGCTTTCTTCCAGGTGGAGCTGACTTTATACAAAGACTGAGGAAGATTCTTTTGGATCCAAGAAAATTTTGGTTTCTTAGTATCTGAAAAGATTGGGATCTGGGAACTTAATGCCTTAAACATGTGTGTCGCCCAGAGCAATTAAAACAAAAGCATGCAACTATCGTGTGCCTGTGCTCCGTGGGGTGGGCCCTGAGGAGAGAGGGAGAAAAACCCTGCCTGGAGCCCAGGCCCTGAGCCAGTCACAGCCTGCCTTCAGCACACTGCCTCTAATAAGCCCTTTTAGTCACACTGAGCCATGGACACATGTGCTGGGCCTCATTTTGATCCAAATGCCTCTGGATTCCGGTCTGCCTCCTTATTCTTTGCACATGGCTCCTAGTGACATTTGAGCATTTCTAAAAATTAAATTAACTTCCAAAGGGCCAGGATTTGTCATTCTGAAAATAGTCAAAGCCTGAACCATTGCTGCGAAAGCCACTTTCTTGTGCCATTATTAAAAATGCATCCCTCCTGCCTTCCATTCATAATTTCCACACTGGGCCAAAGTGAAGCCTAATTAGATAAGATCAGTAAAATAATGAGCCACTAATTGAATTCACTACAATTATTCATGTAAATAATGAGGCGCTAACTGAATCCATTACACTTATCCATGTGATCGTTCTGCATCCCTTCTTTCCCTCCACCTCTGTCCGTGACTATGCTGAGCACCCAGGTGAACAGGGAAGGAGCACTCATGACTGCAGAGGAGAAGAACCATCACTCTCCCTAAGCCCAGCACATGGCATCTCTGTTCTCTCTCACCCCAGAGTCATTGATTCTAGACTGTCCTTCCTCCTACCATGTCTGAGTCACTCCTCTTCTATCTTGGGGTGGAGGGGTATTCAGCCTAGACCCTGTTTTAAAGGAATGAGGAAATACATCTTCCTACTCCTCCCACTACTGCTACACATGGTGCATTTTTGAGAACGCTGCCCAGGAAACAAAAAGAGACCTTCAGGAGCAGGCCCCCTCTGAGCAGTAATTATAATAAACACTGGGTGAACAGGGCACTTCATACTGTGTAGATTGCCACCATTTTAGGGGTTGAATTGTGTCCTCCCAAAATGATCTGTTGACGTCCTAATCCTGGTACCATAGAATGTCACCTTATTTGGAAACTGATGTCCTTATGAAAAGAGAAAAATTTCAACACAGAGGCACACAGTGAGAGGATGATGTAAAGACACACAAAGGTAAATGGCCATATGACAATGGAGGCAGGGACTGGAGCAATGCCTCTATAAAACAAGGAATGCCAAGGATTGCCAGCAAACACCAGAAACTAGAAGAGCCGGGGAAGTGTTTTTCCCTACAGGTTTTAGAGGGAGCACAAGCCTGTTGACACCTTGATTTTGAACTTCTAGACTCCAGAACTGAGAGACAATAAATTTATGTTGTTTTAAGTCATTCCGTTTATAACAGTTAATTACAGCAGGAAACGAATACACACCACTATTCACATCTTCATCAGCTCATCGGGCTACTGGCTTCCTCTTACAACTGAAAGGTCATACCCTGTGACCACGGTCACCAGGCCCTGGAAATCACCAATCTACTGTTTCCAAGAGTTTCGGTTTTCTTAGTTTCCACAGATAAGTGAAATCATACAATATTTGTCTTTCTCTCTCTCTGACTTATTTCACTTAGCATAATGCCTTCAAGCTCTATCCACATTGGTGCAAATGGCCAGATTTCCGTTTTTCTCATGGCTGAATAATGTTCCATTAAACTGATACATATGTCATATAGTTTTTACTGCATAGATCTTTTACTTTCTTGGCTAAACTTATTCCTCAGTATTTTATTCTTTTTGACATTATTGTAAATGAGATTATCTTCTCAGTTTATTTTTCTAATAATTTGTTCTAAAAGAATTTTTTTAACTGAGTAACCTTTCGCACATGTTAAAGCTGGAATCTAGAATTTTTTGTTGAAGGTTTCAAAAATTGCAAAAGGCAATGCAGTGGATTAACATCTTCCATATAATTGACATGGCTCCCTCCCTCCCCCTTCAGATCTTTGCTCAAATGCCACTTTTTGAAAGAGGCCTTTCCTGACCAGCTATCTAAAATTACAAGTCTCCTACATATTCCCTACTTTATTTTCATCCTTAGCATTTCTTTTTTCCCCAGCTTTTTTGAGGTCTATGTAATATACCAAAAAATGCACATATTTAATGTATACATTGTGGTGAGTTTGTACATATGCATGCACCCATGATACTACCATTGCCACAATCAAGGTAATAAACTTATCCAAGACCTCCAAAAAACTTCTTGTCACCCCTTGCTCTGTATGTGTGTGTCTGTGGAACACTTAGCATCTTAGCATGAGATCTACCCTCTTAACAAGTTTTTAAGTGCACGATGCCGTATCAGCCACTATGTTGTATGACAGATCTCTGGAACTTATCTCGTGGCATTTCTCACTACCTAATATCCTATATAATTTACTTATTTATCTGTTTTCTTCACTAGAATGTAAGCACCATGAGAGCAGGGATTTCTATTTTTTTTCATTGGTGTATCTCCAGTTCCTAAAACAGCACCTGGAATCAATATTGAATGAATTCACCACTTCTACCCATCTCTCCATTCTCATCCTATGAAATCAATGTTTCCATCTTCTCTATTCTCAGAATGTATTTTTTGTGCTTGTGCTACATCTCTACCAGGTAAGTAACTCTTCAGAAGTAAGTCCACCTTGGCTGGTATGGCTCAGTAGATTGAGTGCCAGCCTGTGAACCAAAGGGTCACCTCTTCGATTCCCAGTCAGGGCGCATGCCTGTGTCGTGGGCCAGGTCCCCGGTAAGGGGCACGTGAGGGGCAACCACACATTGATGTTTCTCTCCCTCTCCTTCTCCCACCCTTCCCCTCTGTCTAAAAATAAATAAATAAAATCTAAAAAAAAAAGTCAGTCCATCTCAGTATTCTTATTACTCAGTGGATAAGACATGCTTAACTGTATGCTGATATTGAACACTGTACACTGATATTGAACAACGGAGATTCATGTAGGCACTGTTCACTCAGGAGAGTGATTGCTCAGGAGACTTCCCCCATCCTCCCCATTGACAGAACCCACTCAGGCTCTGCTGATATCTGCCTTGCAGCACCCCAACATATGCCAGGTTCCTCCCCAACAAAGGAGAGAAAACTTTAATGATCTCACCTTTAAACCTCAGTGCTTTGAAGCTGCAGTGATCATCACAAAGTCTGATGAAGTGAAACAGCTTTCCCAGGTACTGTGTCAGGGGAAACCCCAAGCCCAGTGAAATCCCTTTCATCCCCACAGACAATAGCCACAGTTCAAAGGACCTAGACCGTCTAACAAGAAAAAGGCACACACAGCTCCTCTGTGTGGTAGAGGTCTGTCCATTCTAACACGCCACTTTTGTTGGGAGTGTGGGGAACAGAGAGTGATCTCAGTGGAACAAACCACTCGAGATACATGCAAATATATCTGTGTCCAGATAAAAGGCCAAACACAGCTTTCTACCTCCTTCCCACCACAAATGTCATGAAATGACAAACAATAATTGTTCAATTATAAAAGGATTATTTCTGTGTTTGCAATTGTTTTCCCAATTTCTGAGGTTATCTAAGTTTGCTGTTCAGATATGGATAATATTCTAAATCAGCAATTATCAACCAGTGTGCCATAAAAATTTTTTAAATATGCAATACCTGACTATTTAGTAAGGGCACTGACCTCTTTCCCCTTAGATTGTGAAATTTTTAAAAAAAATGACAACCTCCAACACAACAATAGCTGTCCAGTGTGATTGAATCAAAATTATACCTTTTTTTTTTGTCAGACAGCAAAAATATGTTTTTTGGTATGCTGCTGAATTTTAGTAATTAGCTTATGTGTGCCACGAGCTTACAAAGGTTGACAATCACTGTTCTAAATAAATCAATACAAATTAATGGGGAAAGCACTCAATAACACAATTCCAAATGTAAGGAGGAGGAGTAAAGATACATCTACCTATGTCTTATCTCTGAAAGCAGTTGAATTGATTTACCACAAGGAAAATAAATACAAGTATCTAAATTCCATTTTGGATGAAAGTGTACCTACAACCCCAAATAACACTTTCCAAGAAGAGCTTCTGTAGCGTCCAGTGAAGTGAACCTATCTGAGAGAGGATGCTGACACAGTGAATGTCCATAATGATGTCCCCTGATGATGACAGATCATGGGCAGAATGGTAAAACAAGATCTCTAAAGTGCACGAAACATTCAGAGGAACAAAATCAAAGATACCTCCTTTGTACCTAGATCCACCTTATGCATAATGACTGTTCCTGGAAAAGAAAACTGGACACACAGAAAAGAAAAACACAGTTGAAGACAGTGTTCCTTAAAGATAAAAGAAAATTTTCACCCTGGCCAGTGTGGCTCAGTTGGTTTGAGCGACATCCCAAAAGGTTTCAGGTTCAATTCCAGGTCAGAACATATACCTATTTTACAGGTTCTGGGCTGATTGATGTTTCTCTCCCTTTCTCTCTCTCTGTAGCTTCCCCTCCCTCTAAAATCAATAAGCATGTCCTTGGGTGATAATTAAAAACAAAACAAAAAAGGAAAAGAAAAAGAAAATTTGAATATTGCTGGGGGAAGGGGGGAATAGGGAGTTGTTTAATAGATGCAGAGTCTCAGTTTTGCAAGATGAAAACGTTCTGGAGATTGTGCAACACTGTACATGTACTTAACACTGCTGAACTGCATGCTTAGACATGGGTTAGATGGTGAATTAGATGTTATGTGTATTTTACCACAATTAAAAACTAAAATTAATAATAATTTGAATCTACATATTGAAAGGAAAATCAGAGTTTAAATAACCAATGCCAAGAACTGGCTGAATAAAATTTTTTACATTCAAAGATAAAGAAAGATTGACTGGAAAAGCAGGAAGGGAATTAAGTACAAACTTCCAGTTGTAAAATAAGTCACAGCCTGTGATGCACAGCTTAGGGACTACAGTCAGTAACATCAGAAAACTGCGGATGGTGACAGATGAGCACAAGATTTACTATGGCAATCCCTTTGTAACGTATGTAGATGTTGAATCACTATGTTGTGCCCCTGGAATTAACATAATATTGTATT